CCAGGGTGGGTTTTTTGTCTGTATTAGTTGTTTTTAACCTGTGTTTCAATTCTTTTCCAGGTTACACCTTTCCCAGCCACTAAAAACGTCCTTCGCCAGTTAGAAGAAATTGCCCATTCCATTTATTTTTACCTAGTTGATGCTGAGCAGGGAAAACTCTCTGGATTCAGGCTGAAAAAGGTATGGAAGACCCATTGCACTTCCCTGAATGCCCTGTGGATGGATAATGGCAGATCTCAGTTCCCTTCATGGAACGTTCAGCCTCAAAACACTCCAGAGAAACTTGGGAAATGCCAAAGCACGGAAAACTGGCTGGTGGGAGCTGGTGTCCTTGGAGGACAAGATCCAAGCTCCCACGTGCTTTTTCCCTGCAGGACCTGAGCACAGAGGAGAGCTGGGAGGTGGCCATCCCCACGGAGGTGCAGAGGATTGTGACTGTCAAAGGGAAGAGGTCCAACGAGCACGTGCACTCCCAGGGCCGCGTCATGGGCGACCGCAGCGTCCTCTACAAGGTGCTGCTGCAGCTCTGGGTTGGCTTTTTGTGAGGGTTTATCCTGTGGGAAGATCCCAGTACTATTCCCTGCTGCTACACTGGGATGAGCTGCCCTGTGGTGCCAGTTTTTCTTTATGAGCACCAGTGTCTCTGGAAAAACGCTCATTTTGGAGGTTTCTTTTTGAAGGTGTTTTCGTGCAGCAATTAAGTCAAAGTCTGATATAGCTTGGTTGATGCTAATTTCTTCACACTATGCCCAGATGAAGAGCAGGAAGGAGGTGTCTGTGGCACGGGAAGGTGTCTCAGCTGTTTCTCCTTTGTCCCCAGTCCCTGAACCCCAACCTGCTGGCAGTGGTGACCGAGAGCACAGACACGCACCACGAGCGCACCTTCATCGGCATCTACCTCATGGACGGGGTCACGGGCAGGATCATCCACTCCTCCGTGCAGAAAAAGGCCAAGGGGCCCGTGCACATGGTGCACTCTGAGAACTGGGTGGTGGTGAGAGCTGCTGCTTCTTTGGGGGGACCCCTAAAAGCACCAACTGACCAATATTAAGGTGATAAAAAGCAGTGACCTGTAATGAAGGTCATTCATGGTGCAAATATGGCAAAATGCACACAAAATGCAAGACTGACAATTTTATAGGTTTTAACGAATTGGCATACTTAACAGAAATCATTAGAGAGGGGCAGTTAATTAAGTAATTCCCCCTTTTAGTTCTGCCCCCCCCAGCTTCTAACCCCCCATTTATAATGTCTGTGATATATAGAGACTGACTATAGAGTAAATAAGATTCCAGCAAGGTTAGCTTATTGTTTGAAAATCAAAGGGAGGGGGAGTTTAACTATGTAATAGTAGCCTACAGAGCTACAAATATGTGGAAAATGTATAAAAATTGCATATTAGGTAAAGGTTTTTCATGGAAAGAGTGATAAAGTACTGGAATGGTCTGCCTGGGGAGGTGGTGGAGTCACCATCCCTGGATGTGTTTAACAAAAGCCTGGATGTGGCACTGGGTGCCATGGCTTAGTTGAGGTGTTAGGGCATGGGTTGGACTCGATGATCTTGAAGGTCTCTTCCAACCTCATCATTCTGTGATTGTGTGAAAAGCCTCAAAACCATTTTGGCATCGGGGCAGTTCCTGAACGTGTATGGGGCAGTTTTGTGACCAGTTCCTGACCATGCATGGGGGCAGTTTTGTGACCACCCTGTGTGATTTCCCTGGATCCTGCTCTGATATTCCTGGAACCCCTCGTTGCAGTACCAGTACTGGAACACCAAGGCCCGGCGGAACGAGTTCACGGTGCTGGAGCTCTACGAGGGCACAGAGCAGTACAATGCCACAGCCTTCAGCTCCCTGGACCGCCCCATCCTGCCCCAGGTTCTGCAGCAATCCTACATTTTCCCCTCTGCCATCAGTGCCATGGAGGCCACGATCACCGAGCGGGGCATCACCAGCCGCCACCTGCTCAGTGAGTACCTGCTCAGTCAAAGGGGGGCACTGAAATCCAAGCAAAATGCACTTTGCTGCCAAAGAGTCATGGCTGGGTCTTGTCCTGGACTCTTGCAAGTGCAGGGATAAGCACCAGGAGAATGTCTCTGTTGGCTGTCAGGAATGGCCATGAGGTGCCAGACTCTTTCCAGTGGTGCCCAGAGCAGCAATGGCCATAAACTAAAACCCAGTAAGTTTCACCCCAACATGAGGAAGAACTTAGAACGTTTCCTTGAGGATGGCAGAGCACTGGCACAGATGCCCAGGGAGGGTCTGGAGTCTCCCTCTCTGGAGACATTCAAAACCCACCTGGATGTATTCCTGAGTTACCTGCTCCGGGTGACCCTGCCTGGGCAGGGGGCTTGGTTTGGGTGATCCCTTACAAGGCCTTTCCAAGCCCAGCTGTTCTGGGAGTCTGTGGTTTTTAAGATGCTTTTCCTTCAATGCACAGTTGGGCTTCCCTCTGGGGCCATCCTGTCCCTTCCCAAGGCTCTGCTGGACCCTCGGCGCCCGGAGATCCCGACGGAGCAGAGCAGGTAGGGAAGGATGAGAACCTCTCTTCCTGGGCTCTGGAAAGGGCTGGATTTTGTGTGTCATACGTTGTATGAAGAGGAACAATTTGTCCTGGCTGGATTCAGAACAGTCTTGGCATGGAATGAAGGGAAGTTCCTTCAGGTCAGAGGTTGAACTCGATGATCTTGGAGATCTTTCCCAACCTGAAGTATTCTGTGCTTCTGTGTCTGTGATGATGGGATACATTTGTCTGTATTACAGCAGGTCAGTCGTTAAACCAGCTTGGTCTCTGTATTCTCAGGGAGAAGCAGTCAGAGGAACTGGATTTTTTAGAGTTACACTTAGTTGTAAAATTTTAAAACCTGGAAGGAGGTGGCTGCAGTTTAGCCTGAACCAGCTGATCCATTTGATTTTCGTCCTGCAGCAATAATGAGTCTGCTCTGAGAAAAGCTTCCAAATTAGCTGTTTTAGGTTAGCTTTTGATAATCAGGAAACACTGGTGGCATCCCCTGTGTGCTGCCTGGTTTGATGTCTCTGGTGGTGCCTTGCAGAGAGGAGAACCTGATCCCATATTCACCAGACGTGCAGATCCATGCTGAGAGGTTCATCAACTACAACCAGACCATCTCCAGGATGAGGGGAATTTACACAGCCCCCTCTGGCCTTGAGTCCACGTGCTTGGTGAGTGCAGGGGGGGGGAACCTCAGTGTGGAATTTGGGGGTGGGTCCAGTCCACAGCCCATGGCAGGGAGCTCTAATTCCCATAATGTGGCTGCTCACAGCTTAAACATCACTCCTATTATCCATCAGAACTGGAGCCCTGAGTGGATCATTTTGGGGTTTTATGCTCCAAGCTGCATCCCCAGCTCCTGATCTCCCTCCTGCAGGTTGTAGCCTACGGGCTGGACATCTTCCAGACCCGGGTGTACCCCTCCAAGCAGTTTGATGTGCTCAAGGACGACTATGACTACGTGCTGATCAGCAGTGTCCTCTTTGGCTTGGTCTTTGCCACCATGATCACCAAGAGACTGGCCCAGGTGAAGCTGCTGAACCGGGCCTGGCGCTGAGGGAGGCCCAGGCTGGAGAGCAGCTGGGCTGGGATGCCAGCCCCACCCCGAGGGATGGATCCAAACACCTCTGTTCCATGTGGCTGGAAGAGATTTGTGAGGAAAAGCTGCTGGTGGAACGAAACCTGCACTGCCCATGTGTCTCCCATGAGGAGAAATGGAAGAGATGAAAAATAGAGACTTTTTTAGTCTATTCTGACTGAAAAAGAAGGTCCTAAACCTCCCTTAAAGCCCCCAAATCAGTGTCTCCCTGATGTTGGTGAAGAGAATACTCAGGATGTGTGTCCTGCTCATCCTGGGCTCTCCCTCGGCACCAGCTGTGCCCCACATCTGGCAGAGAGGAAGGTTGTTGACTGCGGAGATGTGGTAACAAGCTCCTGGTGTGGGGGAGAGACCTTGGGTGATTTCCTTAAGAAGAATGTTGGGAATTGGGTGTCTGTCAGTGGGAAATGTCCTCGTGGAGCCACTGACGAAGCTGCGGTGGGAAGAACTTGAACCTAAAGACTCTCCATGTTCTTTATTTATTATGATGACAACATCAGTTCCTTCCCATTTGTTTCTAAATTGTCCTGCATTTTTTTTTTTTTTTTTTGTTCAGCACTTGGGGTTAAGGTGGGGTCGTTCGGTGGGGGTGGAGCCTCTCAGCGTTTTCTACGGGATCACGGCTCTAAATTCTGTTAATTTTAATTAAGGTCCAGTTTGACATCGAACTTTTCCCCCCGGGAGTGGCCGTATGCCCCCACCCAGTGTCCAGATCCCAAAATAAAGCTGCGGAGCAGGGAGCGGGTTTGGGCTACTGAGCGGTTTCTTGGGCTATTTAAGGGGTTTGGGGGCAGTTTAAGTGGGCATTTGTGGCTATTTAAGTGGGTTTGGTGGGTCTCTTTAGGTGGTTTTTAGGGGTTATTTAAGTAGGTTTTGCGGGTGTATTTAGGTGCGGTTTTTGGGGCTCTTTAGATGGGTTTTAGTGGTTATTTAAGTGGGTTTTGGGGGGTTCTTGAGGCGGTTTTTGAGGCTGTATCAGTGGGTTTTGAGTTACTTAAATGGGGATTTTTGGCTGTTGACGTGGGAATTCTTTTGGTATTTTCGTAGAGGGGTTGTTTCCTTCTTTAAGTGTTTTGGGGGACTCTTGAAGCGGAGGATATTTTCGCTGTTGCAGCGTTTTTGGGGTTTTTGGATGATTTTTCGGGCCGCTCCAAGCCCCCACTGCCCCTGGGCAGGCGGGGGGGCGGGGCGCGCACACAGCGCATGCGCAATCCTCGCCCCGCCCTCTCCGCGCACGCGCCGCGCGCCAAAGTTGCTGACTCACGCAGTGCGCACGCGCCCCCGCCGCGGGCCAATGGGGCGGCTCGACGTTGCGCGGTCGCCTCCCCGCCGGCAGGGGGCGCTGTGCGCGCCGCGGCCCCCGGCCCAGGGCAGCCCAAGATGGCGGCGGGCGGCGCGGGGGCCGCGGCCGGGCCCGGCTGGGATGTGGCCGTGCGGCCGCTGCTCTCCGCGTCCTACTCGGCCTTCGACATGAAGGAGCTGCCGCAGCTGCTCGCCTCGGTCATCGAGAGGTGAGGGAGCGCGGGCGGGGGCTGCCGCCCCTCGGCTTCGCCCGCTCAGGGGGAGCGCTGGGGGTGCCGCTGCGGGAGCGGCTGAGGGGCGGCTGAGGCGGGGCCCGTCCGGGTGTGAGGGGCTCGGTGCCCGGTGCCCGGCAGGACAAGCGGCGGGGCTGCGGCTGCCCTGGCAAAGCCCCGAGCTCTGTCGCCGGCTCCTCCCGCTGTCCCGGGGCCGGAGCTCTCGGAGGTGCCCTCGGGCCCCATAACGGGCTGAGGGTGCTCGCCCGGCCGCAGCACCTCCGACAGGCGCCCGCCGAGAGCCTTCGGGACTGTTCTTATGGTTTTGCTTTTGTCCAGGCGTGTCACGGTTTGCCCGGTTGGGCCGTGGGAAGTGTTGGCTCACCGGGCTCTGGGGGGACCAGACTTCCCTCTAAGTCTTTGCCACTGCAATGCTTCTCCTATTTAAAGTAGAAATAAAGCAGAACCAAATCAAGTCTGCCTTGTCTTAACCACACAGATTGGAGTCAGAATATAAGAGTACGCACCGCAGCTGCTTAATTCAACTTACAGCTTGCATTATGATCTAAAACACGAGATGTGAATGCCACAACATCATACTCAGTTACAGATATATAACCTGGCCTCAGTAAGTTGTTAGGAAACATAAAATAAACAGTGCACTGAGGAAGATGATAAAATAAAACCTTGTGGTGTTTGGTTTAATGTCGAATGGCTGAGTACGCAGTGGATGCTTCAGATTCAAAGAGTTAATTCGAGGAGTTCTGTGCCTGCACCACAGAGCAGTTGTTCCCCCAGGAGTTGCACACTCGGTGTTGATGGGTTTGGGCAGTTCTTTGGCCAATTCTTTGTTTTAGGGACCATTCCATTTTCCTCGTGCAGCTCTGTTGTCCCAGTGCCCAAAGTTCATTAGTGGAGTGTTCCATCAAATATCCCAGGGACACTCGAGTGGAGCCACTTGAGTTCTGGGAGAGGGCTGTTTCCTCCTTTAGAGGGAATGCTGGTTCTGTTTTCCACTTGAGGCAGCAGTTTGTTGCCTTCCAGCAGCACTGTCTGAGGTTGGAGTTGTGTGCCTGATGGTCTGGCAGGATTTGGCTCTTGCAGGATGGTACCTTTTGTTTCGTGCCTTGGTGTGGCATGCTAAATGACAAAGGAATAAATTACAACTTGTTCGTGTCTGGAGCTGTGCTTTTCTGTGCTGAATGAGAATCTATCTTTAGATTTCTCACAGAAAATATTTTATGTGTTCAAGTTATTTTTAGAAGGCAGTTGTTAAACTCTTGATGGTGTCAGCCAACTCCAAAGTGTCTGGATTTCCCCTTAAATAAACTTGGTGTGATGACAGCAAAATCACCAGTGTTATTCTTTGCAAAATAAATCAATAAACTCCTTTTCTTAGCTACTGTGGTATTTCATTTGTAAGTTTCATAATCATCAGGTTAGTGGTATTCCTCTGTTAGCAGGTGTCTTCAAGAATTGACAGAAATTAGGCCCCTATTTGACATAAATGATGGAAATGCTGACTTGGAAAAGTGCAACTGGAGGGGAGCTCAGTGTCTGTGAAGTCATTCCAGGCTGGTGTTTGGGGAAGGGGTTTCCACAGGGGGAAGCTGCTCCTGGAGCAGTGCCTTCCCCAGGAGAAGGCTGCCTTGTGCCCACTGTCCCAAGGACTGGCTGTGCTCAGGGCTGCTCGGGACTGGGGAGCAGAGCCCAGGCAAGGGCTGGGATTTGGTGCTGATTAACATTGATAAGTGACAGAGGCTTCTTCTCAGCCTGAGCAAAGAGCTTCCCTGGGAAGCAAAACCCCTCTAAGCAATAAACCCCAGTACAGAGGCTGAAAAGTCATTATTAAATCTTACTGTATACCCAGAATAACACTCTGGCACATCCCAGATTGAGCTGTTTTTTTCTGTCGATGGTTATTTGCAAGGATTGATGATTACTTGACTGCTGCCTTCCACTTTGCACTATCATAACATCCACAGTGTGTTTTAGTACAACTCAAACCTCCCATTGCCCAATCCCTATCTCTTGCTGGATTCTGCACCTCTGTGTTCTTTATTCCCTGTGGGCACTGTGTGGTGCACAGCTTGACCTGTGCAGTAATTTAGGAGCTGTCAGCCTCTCCTGTACTCTGTTATTCCCAAATTGTTCTCATTTGTTCTCTTAACAATACTTACATCCATCTACTGCTGCTGGCTTGGAGTTGGGCCTGAGAGGTAGGTGAGCAAAATTAATGTCTGAAGAGGAGAGAGCACAGACTGCTTTGCATGTTCAGGGGCTTGTTCCTCACCAGAGCAGTTCTGGCAGGAGAGGGTGAGCTGAGGCCTGAGGCGCTGGAACTCGGTCGTGTGACACTGTTGAATATCTTCCAGTAAAGCCTCTCTCTTAATTTTCTGTTTTTCTATTTTAGCTTTTTAGGTAGACTCAATAAAACCTCAGACCTAGGAAATCAAACTACAAAGCTGATGGGTACTTCTTTCTGCTCGTTTTTGTGGAGAAATGGTTCTGTTCCACAGTTGTTTCTGTTTTAGCTGCACACCTCCTGTTACAGCTGGAAATGATGGCTTAGTGTGGAAAAAGGGAAGGTGACTGGGCATAAACTGGGCTTTGTTCAGGTTAGCAGGGAATGGTGAGATTGTGCTTGGAGCTGGGTACAGCCTGTGGCATGGGCTGCTGCCCTCTGCTCCCCACCTGCCCTCCAGGAATGCCCTCTGTCCCATCGGTGGGGAAGCCTGGCTGGGTTTGCAGAGGCAGAGTGAAGCTGAGTCTAATAATCTGTTCTTGCAGCTTGCTCGTTCACATCACTGCATGAGAGAAAGTAAATGGATCATTTATGAGGCAGATATGCACATCCCTTGGTCTTGTCACAGGAAAAACGAGAGGCAGAAGTAGGTGTGGAGGCAGAGCAGTTTGTGTTCTCTGTGTCTGTGCAGGTGGGATGTGGTGGGACAACCTTAAGGTGTCACCTCTGCCATAAAAGGCTGATCTCTAAGGCCAGCGAGTGTAGCTGAGAAGCCTCAGGGACTCTTCCTTACCTGCCCAAATCCCTCCCCAGGTGCTCACAGGTGCTGTGCCCATGTGTGCTGGGGTTCTGCACTTGTCTGGTTTGATCTCTCTGATTTGCAGACTTGCACAAGCTCCAGTTGCCTCGGTGCCGTGACAGGAAGGGAATGCCTGTGCTCCAGGCCTGGCAAGTCCTGCCAGCATTAGCAGAACACACAGTCCAGGCTCTGGGCAGCTGAGTTTAGAACAACTTAAAGGTTAATGAGCCTCTGGCAGGGAGTGTGGCTGGTAGAGCCTGACCTGTTGATGCTGTGGAGGAGAAACACTGGCAGCACAGTATTCCCTTACAGTTCCTGTGTGGGCAGTGATGCTCATGTTGTGATCTGGCTGCTGCTGCTGCTGCTGCAGGACTGAGTCCTGGGGACATGAGGCTTGTGTTCCCAGAGCTGTCACCTTGCCTTGCCCCTGTCACTGGACACACTGGGGTGTTGGGTGGTGCTGCTGCTGTGCTGGCTCTGGCTGACCTCTGTCCCCTTCTCCATTGCAGTGAATCTGAGATCCTGCACCATGACAAGCAGTACGAGCCTTTTTACTCCTCCTTCGTTGCACTTTCCACACACTACATCACTACTGTGTGTGGTCTCAGTAAGTGTTCCTTTGCTTCTCTTGCTCCTGTGTAATGACTGGATGCAGTAAATCAGAACTGTTGTTTTTTGTATTTGTTTTTTTGCCTTCTTGCTGAATCAGACTTTTGGGCCAGCATTGTTGGCTTTTGTACCACGAAATGTCAACTCTGATGGAAAGGGAAGCTTGTTGATGGGAGTATTTGGCCACCAACTACTGGACAGTGTTGCCTTTTTGGCTGCTTATTCATTGACCTGATTTAATTTTTGGTCAAGTGCTTAGATCAGTGTTCAGGATTTTTAGATTACCCTTCAGCAATTAGAACACTGCTGTCCCTGGAAATGTCCAAGTCTGGGTTGGATGGGGCTTGGAGCAATCTGATCTAGTGGAAGGTGTCCCTGGCCGTGGCAGGAGGTGGCACTGGATGGGATTTAAGGTCCCTTCCAACACAAACCATTCAGGGTTTCTGTAGTTACGTTACTGTGTTGGAGTTAATAATCAAAACATTGTGACTCAAAATATTTTCTGTTATTTTGGCTGACAATTTAGCAATTTCAAGAAGAAATGGTCTTTGTGAATTTGTTTCATGTTCTTCAGAGCTTCTGTCAGCATTAAATAATGTTGCTGGGGAAACTGCTTTATCTGTCTGAATTCCCCTGTCTGGCAGAAGGAATTATCCTCACTTTGCTGACATTTCTTGGGTTACATTGTAATGAGACTGAGTTTATATTGCGTCTGTGTTAGGCAGGAGAGATTGAGTGTGCACCTACACTGCAGAGCATCCTGCTTTATTGACAGCATTGGCAGCTTATTACACTGGGCTATTTTAAAGCTTACTCTGAGTACAAGGATCTGCTTTTTTCAGTACCCAGAAACCAGTTGCAGTCAGTGGCAGCTGCGTGTAAAGTCCTGATTGAATTCTCCCTGCTGCGCCTTGAAAACCCAGATGAAGCATGTGCTGTTTCACAGGTGAGCACAGGTTTGGACCTCCTGGGCCAGCCTCAGTGTGAGAATGGGCTTTGGGCTTTAATTCTGAAATATCTGCTCTAATGATGAATGCATAAAGCAAAATTAATGAAGATTTAAAAATATTTAAGGTGTGCACTTTGGTAGACTGATTCCTGCTGAATCTTCCCTCTGCATTCTACACTCAGAATCAAAGCTTGCTCACAACTCAAAATAAAGGTTACCTGAAGCCTTGGTTAATTCAGTTCCAGTTTCCTACACTCTGGTTTGGTTTTGTGCAACCACCTGGATCCCAGCTATCTGTTGAGTTTTTAAAGATGTTTTCTTGCCTACTTCTATTTGTATCTTGTGGGAAAGCTTAAATATATTGGGAAGAGAGAAGGCCTGTGAGGAGTGTTGCTGTAATGTAGTGTGTCACAGCAGAGAGAGCTTTTCCAGGTGTTTTCCATGGGAAGCACAGGCAGTGTCAGTGACCTGGATTACCTGCAGTCAGGGATGTGTTTCCATCCTCAGGGAAGATCAGAGTGGCTCAGGGCTGTTGCAGTGGCCTCACCAGCTGAAATTGCATTACTCTTATTCCATCTGCTTAGAGTATATGATATGGAGGTGGGATTGGAATGAAGAGAGTTTCAGTGGTACTTGATGTGTCTGTTTTCTGTAGAAACACCTCATTCTGCTGATCAAGGGGCTGTGCACGGGCTGCAGCCGCCTGGACCGGACAGAAATCATCACCTTCACAGCGATGATGAAATCAGCCAAGCTGCCTCAGACTGTCAAAACCCTCTCTGATGGTAGGGAGGGGGCTTCAGCTGTGTGTGTTTCACTGCAGCACTGGAGTTAGGCACAGAAAATGTGAGGTTTGCTGTCTGAAATGGGGTTTGGTGTTTTCCCTGCAGTTGAGGACCAGAAGGAATTGGCCTCCCCAGTGAGCCCGGAGCTGAGACAGAAGGAAGTGCAGATGAACTTCCTCAACCAGCTGACATCAGTCTTTAACCCCAGAGTCTCATCATCACCATCAATCACAACAGAGACACAGGTAAAAAACATCCGAAACAGAAACAGTCTGAATTTCAACTTCCCAGTGCAGGGAAGGACACAGAGCTCTAAGTGGTACTTCTTAATGCAGGTGTAAAGAGAACCTTTCTTAAGTACATAAATTCTGCTTGCAAGGGATAAATGGCAAACAAGCAAATACTGTTTGTGCTGTATTGGCAATGCAGCAATACTAGATTTGTTTCCTCAGGGAATGCAACATCCATGGCTGTTTGGAGTTGTGATGCTGATACACCCTCTTTCTGTGTAGAGACTTAGAGAAATACTGTGTGTTTTTAGTACCTCTGTAATATATTTAATACATGCTTGCTTTAGGTGGAAGGAGAGAGTGAAGATCAAGCTGCCACAGATCAAACCTCTGCAGCAAAGACCAAGAGCATATTCATTGCTCAGAATGTGGCCAGCCTGCAAGAACTTGGTGAGAATCAGCTTTCTAGCTTGGGGCCAAAAAAAGTACTGGAAAAATGTCTCTCCATTGTTACATCTCACAGCTCTGAGTGGGAAGCAACTCTCTGACCTGAAGGGTTCCCCGAGTTGCTTGGTGATTGCCAAGGGAGGTCATGGCTGGAATGGAGTTCTCATTGCAAAGACAAACTCAGTGTATATTTGTTTGGAGGGGTAAATTAGGTGGACAGTGTGAAATACCTGATGGGATGGATTGTTGGGTAGACGTGGATTAGAATCACAGGATTGTTGGGATTGGAAGAGACCATTGGGATCATCGAGTGCCACCAGCTGCACGTAAGTGGACACAGAGCTTTGTGTCACCCATGTGTTAACCATGTGGGCTGCACACTTGAGCAGCTGGTGCAGTTATCCCATTGCCTCATCTCCAATGGCATTTTCTCACCACCAAAGCAATTAAGGGAATTACGGAGCCCCGTTAGGGCAGTGACACAGCCCTGCTGCTGTGCTTGGCAGGTGGCTCCGAGAAGCTGCTGCGCGTGTGCCTGAACCTGCCCTACTTCCTGCGCTACATCAACCGCTTCCAGGACGCCGTGTCCGCCAACTCCTTCTTCATCATGCCCGCCACCGTGGCCGACGCCACGGCCGTGCGCAACGGGTCAGTGCCACGTGCGAGCCGGGACCTCGGGCTGCTGTGCTGTACTGTGCTGTGCTGTACTGTGCTGTACTGTGCTGTGCTGTACTGTACTGTGCTGTGCTGTACTGTGCTGTGCTGTGCTGGGCTGTGCTGGGCTGTGCTGGGCTGTGCTGTGCTGGGCTGTGCTGTGCTGGGCTGTGCTGTACTGTGCTGTGCTGTACTGTACTGTGCTGTGCTGTACTGTGCTGTGCTGTGCTGTGCTGTGCTGTGCTGTGCTGTGCTGTACTGTGCTGTACTGTGCTGTGCTGTGCTGTACTGTGCTGTGCTGTGCTGTACTGTGCTGTGCTGTGCTGTGCTGGGCTGTGCTGTGCTGTGCTGTGCTGTACTGTGCTGTGCTGTGCTGTGCTGGGCTGGGCTGGGCTGTGCTGTGCTGTACTGTGCTGTGCTGTGCTGTGCTGTGCTGTGCTGTGCTGTGCTG